GAAGATACTCACTCGTCCATCAGCTAGGATGCAAACTAAAAATCCGCGGATTTAGAGCCAAATATAAAATAAAATATATCGAGGAGAAAATATATCGTTAGAGGACCAACAAAAAAAATATACATATAATATATATGTAAATGTAAAATATAAGTGTTGTTCATTATTTGTACAAATATTGCCACTATTTTTATTATTGCCTAGCCATTGCCCGATTAGGCAATTTTTTTCTAAATTTCATAACGACGAATTTCCTCGTGATTCTACATTAATTTAACTTTATACAATCCATCATAATGAAATGTTTAAAACGAAACATTATTTTATTTGCGTCGTACCCGTAACTTATTTAACGCCATCTATTAATGATGACGGGTACCGTTTAATGTCGTTTTCAATGTCGAAAATCAGAACAACGGCATCTGGCGATAATTTCTGCAACCCGAAGATGTTGGAAAGATGGTACAAAAATTTTACTGTCTCCACGTTAGTGTCTTTCTATTAAAAATGGATTTTAATTGCAAATAATACAATTCTGGTTTCTTTAATATATCTATTTGGTTCTTCTGTTCTAGCCAATGTGGGTCGTATAGATATGAGAACCAACTAAACCCTAAAATCCATATTTCGGATTTCTGATTTTTAGATCCTGTCCATCCAAAGGTTGCAGCCATTTTAACGCTGATATTTTTTCTTATTTTTGTTTTCATATACAATAAAGAGTTATCCATCTATCTTACTCTATATATGATTCCGTCTGATTAGGTACCACCATATTACCTATTTTTTCCGCCAAACAGACTGCTCTTGTTGTTGTTATGTGCACTGTTGTGTCCCGGTTTGAAGTGAATCTTTATAATTTCAGGCTGTTAGTTTTTCCATCTTAGTCTTTAGAGGTGACAACACAAATGTACTTTTCTTTGTTTGAAGTTAGGTCCATGAGCTGCAGTAGTCACTCATCGTCAAGTGGTCTGGACATCTATTTAATCCATGCATAACTATTCCTACGTGCGTTCATCCCAAATTTACTTATTAATAATTATTTCATGACGATGATGAAAATATACTATCTTCTCTGCAGAATTCATCACCTACGTTGGTGATATACCATAATACAACAAGTTCATGTACCAACAGTAAAGCACTTATCACAATCCCAAATTACCTACATATGCTCAATGGGATAAAATTATAGGTACAATGGAGTATCAGAGACACACTGACTGCCACAAGAGCATTAGCTCTGAAAATCAACAATGTTGACTTCTTGTGACTTGAAAAACGGAGAAAACTTCTTTCTTCGTAATTTATTCATTGAAACGCCGATAAACTGTAACCTTGGATGAGCTTTTGTTTATATAATTATAATGATTCAAAGTGATTCCTTTGATTGATTGTTAGTGATTTTTGATCTTCTCAAAGTTCTAAAACTTTAGTTGACATAGTTTGTATAAAAGGGTTTATTATAATAATAACGAATTTATGAATGATAACAAACTAAATAACATAAAAAATTAGACGATCGCTACTAAGCTATTACTAATTTGTTTCGTGTTGTCAATTATGTAACATTATTTTGATTTTATTATGATTGTAAACTGTTTTTTTTTAATTCAAAATAGTCTCGCTGGGTTATTTGTTGGTTCTTCCCAGGACTGACTTACTAATTCTGGGTCCGCCCGGGATCCGAACATATTGCCATATGATCAACAGTCGCACTTACGACCGCAAGAACAAGAAGGCAGCCACGAATATTCTTATATAAAGAGAAACAGTATGTTCATATAATGATTTCTTATATTAACACGAATAATACGAATTTTGCCCTATGACCCTACAACATGTTCACGCGAGGTCGTGCCCAAAACACGCGAAAAGTCGAGAATTAAGAACTATCTAAATTTAACACGATAGTACAATATTATGATCATATTTTTCTTCTAAGTATTTGTTTTTTAAGATTTAGTATCAACCAGCCAGTGTCTCAGATATAAAAAGCTTTTTATAAGGTACATATTTTATGCAACCAACATATTTAATGTTAACCGTCAAATGCCTTTTTTGCCAACTTCCAACAAGAAGACGGTACTCAATTCGACTGTATGTTTTTTTTATGTGTGTTACCTCATAACTTTTTACTGTTTTAAACCGATTTCGATGATTCCTTTTTTATATGAAAGCTGATAGTTCTAGTGTGGTTCCATATAAATTTGATCAAGGTCAGATCAATGGTTATTGAGTTATTCTTAAATAACCTATATTGAAGTCGCTTATATTGAAGTCGGCTGTACAAAATTTTAAATTTATAATTATGTACGTCGATGACCAAGTCATACTTGCGTCGTCGGCGGCCGAGTTGCAAATGATGGTTACATTAATGAACAGGACATTAAAAGAAAAGAAAATGAAAGTGAACGCAAGTAAGACGAAAGTTATGGTTTTTGAAAGAGAAGAAAGTAAAACGTTATGTGAAATAAGAATAGAAGAGGAGTTGGTCGAGCAAGTAGATGATGTGTATTTGGGATGTGTATTTAGCAGGGATGGTAGACATGATAAGGATATAGAACGACGAGTGAATGCAGGAAATAGAGTGAATGGGGACATACACCCTATTGTGAGAAGTCAGAATGTATCCAAAAAGGCAAATATGGCAATTCACAATGCTGTGTTAGTCCCTACTTTAATGTATGGTAGTGAAAGTTGGGTGCGGCAGAAGAAGCAAGAAAGTAGAATAAATGCTGTAGAAATGCGGTCATTAAGAAGTATGTTAGGGATGAATCTGAATGATAGAGTGAGAAATTGTGTGATAAGAGAAATGTGTGGTTTGCAAGATGATGTTGTGACCAGGATTAAGAAAGGAATGCTTCGGTGGTTTGGTCATGTAGAAAGAATGAATGAGGAAAGAGTGAGAAAGCAAATTTATGTTGCAGAGGTGAACGGCAGAGTCGAGAAGGGACGCCCTAGGCGAAATTTTATTGACCAAATTGGCGATATATTGAAAATGGGCCAAACAAGAGTATCTTTAATCGACGAGCGTGTATGCGTAGGTATATGGATGTGGTGAAAGCGAGAGAGGTGTGTCAGGATCGTGCCAAATGAAAGTCCATAGTCTCTGCCTACCGCTCTGGGTGACAGGCGTGAGTGTTTATGTTTATGTTTTGTTATATTTATGAAAAAAATTATTCAGAGAGACATGATGAGAAAAATGAAGAATTTTCAATTAATATGCTCATGCTCATGTCGTTAAAACTCCAAAAATAAACTAAATGTATCTTAATAGAATCAGGCATTACTTTGCGGAAATCCATTATATAAAAGCTTTTAGAAAAATTTACTTCGCAAATATCCGCGTTATAAAATAATAGGGATAATGCACGCAATTGAGGCAGGGCGGGAGGTGCTCTTCATACTAGGTAAGTCACATCATTTTATTTTATAACGCGGATATTTGCGAAGTAAATTTTTCTTAAAAGCTTTTAAATGTATCTTTTTTTATAAATTATATTTCTTCCTTTTTAAAACTGAAATAATAAACGAGCTTACAGTCTGCCTTATGGTAAGTGGCTACTGCAATCCATGGACACCTGCAGTTAACTTCAAACAAACAAGACTACAAATGCGTTGTTATCTCTGTGAACTATGATGAGCCTCACAGTCTGTTATTAAATTGGCTTTCCATACCCTTAAGACAACACATCTTTTTTTCTTATAAAAACGTTACCCCCACACTAGGATTTTCTCCTGAATCGTGCAGGCAGTTTACAAACACAAATTGGACGTAGTTATACAAAAACTTTCCAACCCACAAGTCATTCAAAAATGAGTTAAATATACAGATCTACTTATTTTGACATCTTCGCGAAGGTGTCAAAATAAGTAGATCTGTATATTTAACTGATTTTTGATTGTCACTCCCATGACTGACTTGACAATGGCAGAATTCTTTTAAGAGAAGCCAAAAACTAAAGAAGAAGAAGAAGAACTCATTTTTGAATGACTTGTGGGTTGGAACGTTTTTGTATAACCACGTCCAATTGCACAAGGACAAACATCCAGACCCGGAATAATTATTTGTAAACCATACAAATACTTGTTCCGTACCGGATGCGAAGCCGCGGCCCCATTGTCCCACGGAGCTGTCCACATCGTTGCAAGCAATGCTATTTGGCGGCAGAAAAAGTTAAGAGGGTGATATCTACGAGGGTGGTGTACAGATAGGGACACAATATTAGATAGCAATAGCAGCATTTTTAGATGATTAAATTATGATGATGAAAGCTCAAATAAATAATTATGACACTATCATAATCAGTATTGATTTTATACTTTCTTTTACGAGTATTACGTGTACTCATTTCCTTAAATGAAACTAATACTTTTGCTAAAATTTCTTTATTAAATTCATATTTACAAAACTTATAACTATATTATAGCATCGTACAATTTTTTTATACATTTTTTCTTATACCTAGTACTGTCCATTTACAACGCCGCGTATATATTACTAAGTCTGTTTATTCGAAGAAATAATGAAAATGACAAGAAAAGATTTAGAAAAATGTGAATTTGAGATCATTTACAGAGAATAAATGTTCAAAGAAGAAGTTATATTTGTAAATAGACAATGAGGTGAGTATTTTAAATTATAATCATCACAATATCGGTTCTCAGCTTAAATCGTTGTCATCGTTACAAGTAATGACGATAGAGGGCGCTAAAATTAAAGAATGATTTAAAATAGGCGAATACGTAATAATGATGTAAAGAATTAAAAAAAGGTATTCGAGATTAACAATTAAATACGAAGTAAAACATAAAAGAAAAATGACAAGTGTGAACTAAAGGTTTTATCGTTGATCATGATATAGCTTTTATAAATAAGTGCCACTTCTCGGATCGGTGGTTTCAAGACGGAAAAATATATAAAATTATAATAGATATTCCGACAAAAGCCGCATTTCAGGTAATATTAACTAGCCCTCATATGCAATATCGTCTACTTAATAACGGTAACCGGTTTGCGAGTTGAAGTTGCCGTTTCCTGAGCCACGGGGACCAGCGTTAGGCGCTAGGTACTGACGAGAGGTAGCAGCATTGAAGCCAGACCCCTTAGCACCAAAGGAAGATCCACCAGAGCCGAATCCAGAGCCGCTGGCACCGAATCCAGAACCACCGGCCCCAAATCCAGCGCTGCCAGCACCGGCACCACCGGCACCAAAACCTGAGCCTCGGGAACCGCCACCAAAACCAGATGGGGCGCCATATTGAGCAGAAGGACCAGAGGAATAACCGCCAGCTCCAGATCCAGCGCCTTCACCGTGGTATGAACCTGTAATAATGAAATAATTAGTCAAAGCCAATCGGAAATAAAAAGAAAGCATGTTTCACTTATCCGTAATGATTTAATAAAAAAAGTGGTAAAATGAACTTAAACAATTATTATTTATGAACTAGCTACATATTATAAGTATAAATAATAATCCATGCTGCGAATAACTTCACGCTCAGGTTGAGATCGCAGTACACCTACTCGTATTCAGGCCATAAGATAAGCGGGTTTCAAATTTCATATTTATTAATTAGTTTGTGTCTTCTATTAAATATTGAGCTCTAGATGAATCTTGTAGATAACAAAATAATTAATTCAGATTAAGACTCTTTCAATTTGAATACATTAAGCATAATCAAAAAAAAAGGCTGCATGTGTCAAGTAAAAAAAAGAACCAAAATAAAAAGAACAACCGAATAACACTTAGCAGAAAAAACTATAACAAGTATTATTTATTTTCAATTCTTGTTAAATTATAATGTAGTAATGAAAAACACACGCGGATCTCTAGCTCTGTAAGTGTTGTCACTGCTATCACTTTCTTCACTTTTAGTAGACGGCTACCGTCATCTATGCTACCGGTGAAGAGCATTCAACGTTCACCCTATAAATATATGCTTATACAATATCTTTAATCTTCAACTGTTACAAGAGTCTCGGTTTAGCATACTTTCAAAAGAACCTCATTTTTTGTGTTTCTAAAACTTAATACATATATTATACAATGAGTATAAATATGTATCTCGCAGAGAATTACATTTTTTTCGAGTTATAAAGTCAAAATAATTCGAGATACTGCTTACTTAGGGGTTCATCGAAAGGGAATGGCAATTTTTTTCGTATTAACGAAACTTCGATTTTACAAAGTTCGAGTATCGAGATTTTACTGTAATCGTTTAAACGCTCGCATTATAGCCACACCACCCAGTCTCATCCGAAAGCTCGTCATGGCCTTGCTCGCAAACTACAGATCTATTTGTTGCGGTATTTTCATTTAGTATCTAATGACCTTTAATACCGGTGCTTCAATTTGCGGACGCTACTTTTTAATTTTGTTGTAATAGTGACGTAAGTAGTATAATTACGTTTTAATAGAGTGCCTAAAACAAAAAAATCATGTTGCAAACTATAAACAAACGAGTTAGTACGGTTACAAGGTAGTTTTTATACTTTTTTTTACATAGTAGAGCCATGTTGCCGCTATTATATGGTTGTAACATTAAGGGGTTGACACGATCGTGGAAGGAACGCGCTATCACTGTTGCAGAATACAAGCGTGAAATAGCAGCTTAATGCTGATGTGTTCATTATGGTGAGTTTACAGGGCCGGAGACCCTTTTAACTGGGAACGAGCCATTCCATCTTAGATTTCAGGTGGTCATCCGCATTTTGAATCTTAATCGAGGATGATATAGATGTGTATAGGCCACAGCATCTTCTTACTATCAGGTGAACTGTGTGCTTGTTTGTTACCCTTATTCGATAAAAAAGTAAAAGCAAAATAAAGTTTCAACTTATAAACGTCCAACTGCTGAGCGCTAGCTTCTTAATTCTGAGAAATTTAGTAAGTGAATAAATTTTAAATAATTAATTAAAATGCTTAGACTAATAACTTCCATAACATATGAGCCTGTCCTGCTGTCCATGCTGTCTTTAATTGTATCATGATTATTGTCGTAGGAATTTATGCTCACAAACTTTTCTACATCAGCGGATCGTATGAGTTCATAGCTGGACACAGGCCTCCCAAGTTGTAGGTGAGATTTATTTTTCAAAAATTTGACTAATTAACGAACTTACAGTACACTATAATTATACTGATTTTTCAAATCTTTCAAACTAAAACATAGCAGTGCAAGTACTGCTGTTTGGTGCCAGACAAAGGGAAGAATATGATAACAACCCTAGACCTAGTCTTCTAGGCAGTAGCACCTGCATTCTATGCAAATAAATAAATAACTTTAAACAAAAAATTGTACAAATTGTACAAATAGTTTGTCACCTCTGAGAATTAAGATAAATTGTACAAATAGTTTGTCACCTCTGAGAATTAAGATGAAATGGCTTACAGCCTGTAATCATACTGGAAATCTACACCCTTTAGATTGAGACACAGCAGTGCAAGCACTGCTTTTTGGCGGCAGGAATATGTAGAAGGATAGATAGGTACTATCCAGACATTTTACTAGGCAGTACAGGAAACAACATTTTTTAAAGAATTACATTTAGCAGGAACGACGAGCCGTGAGTAAAATAACCGTAAACTTTACCACAAGCTTATGGCTCGCCGATCGGAGCTTTAAGGAAACCATTATAGAAAATACCAAAATAATACCAAATATCTTTCCAAAATATGTGAAGTGCACCACACATAACCACCAAGACTTTTATTATCAATAAAAATAAAACGAGCTCTACCACCTAGTAAGCTTCAACATCTAACGCATTGGCAATGTAGGCGTTTCATAGTTATGGGCTTATGTAAAAGCATTACAGTCTGGTTCGAGACAATGCTTGGGCAACAGTCAATTTAATGCGATCTCTACATCAGGTTGATTCATTAGTCGATAATAACAACGTTGAATGATGCTTCTTGTTTGCACTATGAATTATATAATTGCGTAAGATACATTGAAATGTAGGTTAGAAGAAGCATTTATCATTATTGTTTTAATACAAATTACAAAAAAACTAAAAAACTGCCTTCGATATTACGAATTTGTTGTTTTCAAGTACTTTAAAACCGACTTATCACAAAGATAACTTTAAATAGATTTGTTGTGTAAAATAAAAATAAGGAGTGCTTAGACATTTTAACAGATAATTTTAAATAGTCGATACTTAAAATGCACTAAATACATTCGAAAAGATGAAAATCAATTGACAATTGTTTGAAAATTCGAGATTTTATATTTTCTCTATAGAATTTTTTTTTTCTCAGATGTCAGAATTGCAACAAATACATCGGTCTACACCGGTGTGAAATATGTTAAGTGAAAATAAGATAATCGCCGCCTTGCAATCCTTAATGACACACCTTTGTTCTAGATTTCTCACAGCACGTTCCCAAACACTAAATGGAAACAAGTTTGATAATTGTGGCTGAACTAAAGAGACGATAATAATCTGTGGCATGATGATGAAAATGCTGACGATAGATAATTTGGTTCGATGTGTTAGCTACGTTGAGGACGTTTAACGTGACTTTTAAAATATAATCGTGAGATAAGCGGCGTTGTACTCGTCCCAACAATTTTAGCACACCAAAAATACATATGAATTTAAATTAAAGATGAGATTACGGAATAGTATGAATAAAGTTTTATGTGTTCTGTAAAGTTGTGTGTTTTAGTTTGAAAAAATATAAGTTGAAAGTTACTGTTGAATCTAACGAAAAAGAGCACTACGTAAGTGAGTCTGAAGACGGTCACAAATACTTTATATTGTTAATAGCTATCACACCTTATATATAGCATAATACCTTATATAGAACCTTCCCGAATTTGCCAGAAATTTGTTTATTGAAATATCAAGTCTTTTGCTGCGATAAAATACCTTAGAGACATGGACATAAAGGAGCGTACAGCCCACCTGATAAAGAAATAGCCCTGCGTTTTCACCCTAAGATTAAATACAAAATGCGTCGATGCTGCTAACTCTAAAAAATTAACGACTAAGAATAAAATGACAGGATTAAACGACGAATTTTATACTTAATTTAATTTCATAATATTCCTAATATTTATTTTCCAATTTTACTTATATTATACTAGTTCCAAATGCCATACATTTAATTAAATTTAAATTGTTATGGATGAACGTGTGAGCCTTCGAAGGGCTATACATAATACCCACGACTTAGACCTAGATTACTAACAACAAATTCTCCCACAGACATTCACTTTTACAATTGATGCCCGACCTTTTTAGAGGATGCTAATGTATCTATGAACTCGATCGGGGTAATCCACGCCTAACACTTTGAGCCAGTCACGAATACTTTGCAAATTATCCGGTTATTTGTAAATATGATCTGAATGTTCATAAGTTTTAAATGATTTTAGATTGATGATTTAAATATCTGGTGAAAATAATCAAATGTCATAAATAAATAAAAACTAAATTGACAATAGAAGATAATAAGACCAAATTAATATTGAAAGAACAAATTAATATTGAAACCAATATTCCGAAAAGTTTGTAGTTGTAAATAGACCCAGATTTTTAAAATTAAATAAAAAAAAAAAATACCAAAAATTGTGAGAGATTGGTGTGAACTAAAGGAATTTATAAATAAGCAAAAACTATAATTACACGAGAGATTATATGATATACTTGCTATAAACAAATCGTGCAACATTCTCAAGAAGAACTTACAAAACAAAATTATGACGAATCAAAAGCATACATTGAACTCATAATCGAACCTAGACGACTTTAGCCACACATTTAGCTACCATAAATCTACGGTAAGCAACAATTAATCCGCTGACCTGTGGCCTTCTCACTGCGTGGCTCACTTTGCCCCAGCTTCCAGTGCGATCACGAAGCCCTATGATGCAATTGCACCGTTCTCGCGTCATCTTGCAACTCATCAGTACGCTACTCGAAATAGTCGTGTGAATATGATTTAATGTGTATTTTGCAATTCTGGTTCAACACATAAATGAACATTATAATGATATTGTAACAACACTTTGAAATTATTTATTAGTATGTTACGGGCCTAAACTCTAATATGGAAAAAAATCATATTGACCAATAGACCGTTATATAAGTGTATAACTATATAGAATAGTGTACGAATATATCGCTTATTGAAACTTATAAGTAAAATTACCCTAATTATTTCATTTAAAAACGAGATATGCCATTGTATTTACGTTCATTACGTTGGTTTGAAAATATATTCTATCTATAATAAAAGTTATGCTTATTACAATCAACTCATAGAACAAAGTCCTACATAAAATGTATGGGCTATTGTCCTAATTTGGAAAGATTCAGAAATTAATTTGTATCAGTCCGACTTAAAACAAAAAGATGGGTAACCCATCGTAAACTATTCTACAGTAACCACTATAACAAGGTTAAATTGCGGTTATTCGCCGTTTTTATATGCCCATTTTACTGCGATTTTTATGACAGGGGGAACATTAGAATAAATTTTTATTTATTCGTATTATTTATCTCATGACAGAAGGAGACACATTTATTATATAATTGGTTCCCCATAATATAAATGGATATATGAAGGGGGTAAAGGAAACTCAAATTATTTAAATAGTTTCAAAAAACTGAATACGTAAAGTATTCCCATACAATTAGAACTTATCATGCATTTTGATAAAAATACTTTCTTCTAAATTTTAAACTTGGAAGTGAAAACATATGTAACAAACAAAGCAACAAAGAAAACTGAACTGCACTACATTTTAACTATTACGTTGAAACCTAAATTAACAAGGAGATAATCCGTATGACACACACATTCAGGGTACGCCTTCTACATCTAAACATATAAATAAAATTAAAGTACTTGTTTGTAATATTGAAATAACTACCTTATATTGAGCTAAGGGCCGTTTACAATTTAAAAAAATCTATTGTCTGTCTGTCTGTCCTGGCTAATCTTCGGAATGCAAAACCCAATGTATTAATAAAACTTCACGAACATATAGAAAACAGTACCAGAATTGATCTATGCTATTTTATCCGAAAACTTAAGGATGTATTTGGAAAACACCTAAAATTTATGTAAAATGTGGTCTCTGATAATTTTAAATTGTTAATTATTAATAGATTATATTCAGACGCAGGTAGGACAGAACACTGGTTAAAATGATGCCATACATTTTGACAGTTCTAATCAACTTTTTGTTTCATAATCGATCTGCCGATTACGCGCTACAGTACCGGGTGTTTTTGTGTTATTTTGCGAGACTTTTTGATAGCAAAAACTTGAGTGATGTTTAGATTAATTTTATTTTGTATGTACTAGTACTGTACACACGTCGAGGTGTTCCAATTTGTTCGCTTCCTTCATCGAGAATTAGATTTTTTGTATACAATAATTTAAGGTGAGGTAATTTTAGTCGTTTATATAAGTGATGCGTTAGTAATCATTACACTCGATGATACTCTTTCGTTAACCGTCTACAATTTTAGTACTTATTATCTCATGACTTAAACATCCAGAACCCTGGGTCTGGATACTGAAGTTATGAGATTGGTCTATCAAATTTTATAAAAGCAATACCCAAATTTTAAAAGAAAATGCTTTGAAAAAAAGTTCACGTGGCTAAATACTACGATGGTTATAAGAATTTATTAAGAATAGAGGCGAGCAAAGTTTCTTTGTTTAACACGTAATTCTTTCTAAACCATATAATTTTGAATGAATTCTTACATAGACGAAGAAGACGATATTACGTTAAGATTGACTTAATTTTTTCGGATAACAACGTCAGTGATCGAATTGCAACACCAAGAACAAATATATCGTATACTTATCGTAACTAATCTCTAAATACGATGTGTTGGCCATTTGTCAATTGATTATCCACGCACTTGCAAACGAGTGCATAGGCAATCCTTTTTAACATGCTTTTATTAGCTTGACCTGTATGTATGTATGTACATATGTACTATGATGGTAATGGAATTTTATTTCAGTATTGCCCCCTTTCGGACTTCTAACTAATCTGAAATTTTGCAGACATATTACGGACCGGTGACATATGTAATAATTTGATGAACTAGTAACACGAGTAGAATATTCTTAACTCTAATTTTATATCCACTGTAACGATTTCTTTATGTTTGTAAATATTATACCGAGACCAAGAAAATATTACATGCTTTAGGATGTAGCTTTATTTCTTACATTTTATGAACTCCTAATATGATCAAGAAATTTGAGTATTTTTAACTTATTATAAGTCAGTACTTGACTAAAACCTCAACTGGTGGTATGCGGTGATAATTAACAAACAACAAAAGCCTATTTACTCTTGCCTTGATGTTCTGTGGTATTTTCTACCGACTTCAATAAGAAAAAGGTACTCAATTCGACTGTACGTTTTTTTATGTGTCCTTATAACTTTCTTTTGGGTGATTCGATTTCAGTGATTCTTTTTTTTATTTGAAAGCTGGTGATTTTAATGTAGTCCCATATAAATTTGATCAAGGACTGACCTGAGTCGGTTGTACAAAATTAATATAATTAAATTATATAAATGAATTTTCAAGGTATTTCTTATGTAAATAGTCATAATATAGAAACTTACCGTCATCGACGATACCAGCAGCCTCATCACGAGCGTTCTGCTCCAAAGATTTCAAGATAGCTTCAGGAATCGGGGGTGGGGTGGGGAGGTGTGCGCCACGGGGCTGGAATCCGTTCTCATCAGCAGTGTAAGTAATGCTGTAGTCCTGTCCATCGTCGCCCTTGTAAGCGAAGCTGCCTTGAGACTGAACTCCGTTTGTGGCTACACCGGATGCATCAGCACGGATTCCGTTGGACGTTTCGAAGTCATAAGAGAATCCTTCAGCGGTGACATCGCTGTTCAGTCTGAGGATCTGAGCGTTGGCATCAGCGGATTGCCTGTAGTTACCGGAAGCACTGTATGCTCCAGATCCTCCGGCCCCACCGTATGCTCCAGATCCTCCAGCCCCACTGTACGCTCCAGATCCTCCAGCGCCACTGTATGCTCCAGCTCCACCGGCACCCCCAAACGCACCAGAACCTCCTGCCCCTCTGTATCCGCCGGCACCTCCGAATCCACCAGCGCTACCGCCACTTCCAAATCCGCCGGCACCGCTTGCACCAAAAGCACCAGAGGCGCCTCCGAAACCGCTACTTCCTCCAAATCCTGAGCCTGCGCCTCCTCTAGGAGGGAGGTAGGTGTTGTCCAATCGGGCTGCGGAGCATACCCCAAGCACGGCGGCAACAACGAACTGCATACAAAAAAGTTAAATGTGATTTTTAGTAGTTATAAACACTGAAAAATTATTAAGTATGTAAAAAACATTTCATCCTCATCATGATCACTACAGCCCTTCACAAGTCCACTGTGGAATATAGCCCTCCCTAAGGTCATGCCAAAAAATGCACGATCCTGAGCCACCTGCATCCATCGACTTCACCCGGTTGTCACGCCTTCTAGTGAAGGCCATCGTACACTTTGCTTGCCGATACTTGGCTGCCATACTAGAACCTTTCAATCACATCGGTTATCGGTTCGTCGAGCTCTCAGGTCAAGTAAGGCTCGCTCATTGCCCCTTCGCTGTACTAATCCGTTCCGAAAAGACTAATATAATAAACTAAAATAAATAGTAAATAAGAAACTTAGTGAAGAAGCTTAGAGACGAGCTAGAGTTACAGCGTTACCAGGGTCCTGATTGGTGCCCTCTACACAACTTCCCCTGTCCAACGTAAGCGCGGAGGCTTAATGTTGATAATCATGAAAATTATCAACATCAAAACAGCCTAACCCAAAGAAATTGGAAAGCGTTAGACGTAGCGTATTACACTTGCTGGCGCAACTCAGAATCATGTTAGCCTAAGTTGCGCCCCCTTTATTAACATGGTGCTTGTAACGTCACACCGCACTTTCTGCTGTAAACTTTCTACCCGGGCTTCAGGCTTAGGTCTCAGTGGAGTACGCTTGATGGGGACACTAAAATTAACGCTCCGACCCAACAAACTATTTTCACTAAGGCTTTACCCTCAATGTAATATTTTAATAGTAAAAGGGTGACAAACGAGCACACATCAGTTCACGTGATTGAATGTGAATGCTGTGGCTTATAGATATTCACATTTATCCTCAATTTACAACCGAAATGCAGATACGTTGTCATCCTTGAGGACTAAGAAAGACTAACTGGCATGCCTCGTTTCCAGTGAAAACAATTTTAAAATAATCATCATCGACGGAGAACACTTAAGAATAAATCAACACTTGCTTAGGAACGAGTTAGATAGATAAAAGATTGTCATCCTTTCACAAATTTCTAAACATTAAAAAAGGACAGCATAGTTTTAATTATGAAAATATACTAATTCACATCGGCTTGTTAATAAGCGATAAATACTATAGTGCTCTTAATTGCTACAAATGGCAAAGATTACAAATTTTCTACCTTTTATGAACTCAGAAAAAACTGTAGCGATAATAAATATTTTAGACCCATTTCTAAAAATATTTAACAATAACATATTAAACTAAGCAAATAAAATGTATTACAAGAAAATGTATAATTTTTAAGGATATTAATATTAATTTACAGTCTTTACACGTCCCACCGCTGGGAACAAACCTCCTCACCTATCTGAGAGAGTTACGGTGCAATTTCCTTTGATTTTGAGAACAAAAAATCCATGAAAATCAGAGGAATGAACTGCTGTTATCAAATTCATTCCAATATTTTAAAAACTGAATTTCATCTCTTATAATTATTTAAATTGATCCAATATACAAAAAAAAACCGGCTGACAACAAAACTTTTGTTTTATTTTTCTGAAGTCTTGTGATTACTTTAAAAATTAACATTATTAAAAAAAAATACCTTTAAAGATTATTTAAAAAAGTTGAATTTAAAAAGTTATTCAAGAAAAATCTCCAAGTAAATAAAAAAAGGTAAAATTTATATAAAAAATAATCTATTTTGCTAGCTTATATACTCACCAGCTTCATTATAAATAGAATTAAATTATAATCTAGTGATTATGCGGCTTGGCTGCTCGCAGAGTACTGTGATGGTTGCGAGAAGACATGATGGTTATATACCTCCCATCTTGCCTTAGAACGCATTATTCGCTGAAAAAGGCATCACGGCCGTTGAATTGCAATGTGGTGGATCAGCAGTATCGATTGGAAGGCTAGTCTTCCTTGCTCGTGAATGTTCGCGGCCCCTGCGATCGCGACCACAGATGCGCCCTGCATCCGCAGCACTTAGTCGTAAACGAGGCGTTAGTAAATTAAAACAATCAACCTTAAAAAATTTCATTTAAATTTGTTTAATTAAAGTTTTTTTTTTTTTGAATAAAAACTTGAAATTGTTATTTTAACAGGTTTTTAAAAAAATATTATACTAATAATATTTAAATTAGGTCCGGCTTTTTAATGATATTAATGATGTTTGGCTGATATTTAATTGTATTAAAAAAAACCAATTCTTTATTTTTTAATACATAAAAGTAGAAATGAATAAAAAAACGTTTTAATTTTTTTTATAGATCCAAATTACTCTAAAATCGCCATCGAAAATTTGTCAAGGATTCGTCCGCTCACGCGTACTCTAATTTGTCAGGTCAATATTTTTAAAAACGCTTGGCTCATTATGATTTCTTATTATATGTATTTACGCGAACACTATACATTAAAAATAAACTGATTTTACGGATTTTGTCGCGTTTGATAAACTTAGTTTTAAATTTTTAATTTTGCAAGCTCTGAAACTTCAGAGCTTTTGTGTAAAGCAAAGATAGTAGATTTTTCAGAAATGGAAAATAAATATTGATTGCCTCTTCGTCTCTGTCTTATTATAGCATACCAGTGCACATTTTACTCCTGACGAGTGTTGCATTGAATAAGAAAGGATGAGTTATATATTTGCTTTCTTTCCGTCTCTATTGGCTTTTAAAATTTCTCTGCTGGATGATTTGTTTGGACCAATTTTAAAAATAATATTTTTAAATTTCTTCCTTCGTAATCTATAGCAATCCACTTCTGGATATGGGCATTTGGGGGGGATTCACCGTAATCGCAAATGTCTCGCACATTCAATGTTACTCTCCGTCGACGATCTAGATATTATATCTACATCTAGCATATGCAAGATAAGTATAACGTCAAATATCAAATCATGACGATTTTCTGGCTAGTCACCACTTACGTAACCCACGGGGCGAAATGTGGTGATGAACTTCGCCAACACGCGGCATCGCTACCACACGTGTTTCAGTAGATTTACAAGAGAACAATGTCTTGTTTCAATTTAACCAGCAAAATATTAAAAAAAATATATAAAATATACTTCATTTTATACATTATACATTACATCATACAGTACACGAGCATCACTGGTTAGATTAACGAAATTGTTAATTTCAATTTTAAAAGCTGATTAGCCGCTACTGTGTAGTGAATTAGTAGTAAGAATAGTTATCGTCTCGTAAATGTCATAAGACGACAGAGGAAAACAAACCGGGAGATAGGCAGCAGCGTCTTTCTAATCCTAATAATAACTAGAAGAAAACTGCGCTTGCCAACCCACCTGCCAAACGTGGTAATCGTGGCTAGAATATCTTTGGGAAGCCTATCTTCGGAAGTGAATTTTCGATGATGCGTGCTCGGCGGTAAAGGAGAAAATCATGAATAAACCTGCATGTCTGAGGTAGGTATGTATAAAAAACTAAGTGCTTCTTGATACCACCCGCATCGTCCGCCGGTTTCTTTCCCTTTCCTGGTGTGGTCTCCTCTGCCGAGGGCTTCCATTTAGTTGGGTTTTTATTTATTTATATGTTACTATATTTAATATATATTTATGTTCTGTTATATATTTATTCAGCCCAACCAGATGAGGATAATTTGTAAATACGCCATAATAATATATTATGATGTCCAATTTTCGGTCAAAACGTTCAGTCTCGACGGAGACTAGAGATTTGTGTAGGACAAGAAGAGTTGTGCATGAGTGAACATGCAAGCACAGGTGCACTTTCATAGCCCAACGCGACGGAAGAGTAAACCAACTCGACCGGATAAAGATCAGGCGCAGAACCAACGGCTTTTTTCTATTGAGAATTTATTGACATAAACTTATTTTGGTCAGTTTTCACCATTCTATCTTCAAGGCATTCAAAAAAATAAATGACACTTTCCTTACAATAGTAATCTGACGACGTTATGTCTTCTATCTAAAATTATAGTACGTCCTAGTACTCATAAATAATTGATATTCACGAAATTAAGATAAAGTTCTGGATTTCATTAAAATAACAAACGTTTGGCAATTTAAGTATCCATTACATTAACTGTCGTAAACTAATATGAATATGTCATCGAATACGCCTATATTAAACCGTGCAATATAAACTTTATGAGAAACAACAAAAGTAATTTCCAAATATACGGTAGCCTATAAATTTTGTAACAACCTTTAACTATTATTTTATGTTTATTACATATTACAGACAAAGTGCATTATGTTAAGATGCGTTAATGATTACAATAATAGCATTAGAATTACGTCGAATAGCAAATAGCGAAGGTGGGCATAAATGTGAAAATCAAGTTAAAAAAATCTATTCACCTGTCCATGGTGACAATACACACAAGATGATAACGGTTGAGGATAGGTAAGATAGGTTAATTAAGTAACAATTAAGGACAGGGACACTGTAACCTTATGAAATCACCAGAGAAAACCCGTGTTGTTTGTTTGTAACTTTTTTAGTGTTAATACAAAAATATTACTATATACCAATTGTACAACCAGTGCGTGTTGCCAGTGATGACTTACGGATCTGAGACGTAGTTCTTCACTGCTGGCCGTATGAGGAAGCTCAAGGTCTGACATAGTCACATAGTCAAACTGACATACTCAAACTGACATAGTCAAACGAATTAGTAAGCTGAAGTGGCAGTGGGCCGGCCATATAGCTCGAAGAACCACCAACCGATGGGGAAGAAAGGTTCTTGAGTGGCAGCCTCGTACCGGTAGGCGAAGTATAGGGTGACCCCCCACGAGATGTAGTGACGACCTGAAGTAAGACATGCAGGAGGTCGATGGATGCAGGTGGCTCAGGACCGTGCTTTGTGGCATTCCTTGGGTAGGCCTATGTTCAGCAGTGGACTTATGAAAGGCTGTAATGATGATGATGATACTATATACCATCTATCCGCTCCAGATTTAGTGATACTCTGTTTTGGCATCAAACTAAATATAGTTAAAGT